TAGAAAATAAAATTCTTGTTCTTACTTGATCAAATTGCAAGAATCCCTTGCAAAAAATAAGGTAAAGTGGACATTCGTGCGCGCAAGACGAAATCCTTCCAAAACCTTAGGTTTCGTAGCGATTTTTTAACATAAAAACATCAAAAACCCAATGGTTTTTTAAGAAAAAATTGTCAAAATGTCCTTCCGCGCGCGCTGTCCGAATCCCACAAAACCAATGGTTTTTCAACATTTATGTTACATGAGCTCGCGCGAGCTACTTTTTTCTTGTTCTAACATAATCAAATTTCAATAATCCCTTGCAAAAAATAAGGTAAAGTGGACATTCGCGCGCGCAAGACGAAATCCTTCCAGAACCTTAGGTTTCGTAACGATTTCAACATAAAAACATCAAAAACCCCATGGTTTTTCAAAAAAAAATGTCCAAATTTCATCCCGCGCGCGCTGTCCGACTCCCACAAAACCAATGGTTTTTCAACATTTATGTTACATGAGCTCGCGCGAGCTACTTTTTCTTGTTCTAACATAATCAAATTTCAATACTCCCTTGCAAAAAAAAGTAAAGTGGACATTCGCGCGCGCAAGACCAACAAAAAACACGACTATCTCAGGAACTTGCCCCAAAAATGTGACCAACTCCGCTCTCTCTGTCTCTCTCTCTGTCTGCTCTCTGTCTATCTCTCTGTCTGTCTGTGTCATGTATTGTATGTCACAATTGCAGGATGCTGGGCACACGCGCGCCCCGAATAAGTGACCAAGTTCTGTGGGTGTGTACCCCACGCCAGTGTTGTAGCCACGGTCGTCCGCACGCCACGAAGTGAAGTGTCCCAACGTCATAGGGCGGGAAGCTGGGTTTGGGTGGTCGCGAAGAGTCGTTTGGATATTTGGTAGAGCTTGAACTGCCCCCCCACGAAGTGGGGGTATTGTCTCGCGTCGCATGAAAACCCTGGCACTGGTGAGAACACTGAGCGTTCGGGTAAAATGATTGTTGTTGTTGTTGTTGTTGTGGATTGTTATTATCATTCTTATTCTGAGCCTCCTCGAGGCTTTCGTCGCCATGGCTGGATCCGCTTCGAAAAAACAAATCAGAATGGACCCCGGGAGCGGGCTTCGGACGGAGCTAGGACGAGGACAAAATCCGTTCCAGAGCGTTCCTGAACGCGCTCACAGCGTTCTGGAACGCTCTGAGAAGGCCGCGGCGCCAGGGACATCCTCCAGAACCGCTGGATCTCAGAGATCCCCCGATGTATCCTCGTCCAGATTTGTCCTCGTCCTGGCTTCGTCTAGAGTATCGGTCGCAAACCATAGGTGCCTTGTGTGCCCTCTTAGTTTCATCTTTAGCTCCGAATGGCGTTGATTAGCGTTTGGTAATCGAGGGGATATCGGCTAGCGCCGATTTAGCGTCGATGGGCGACGAATTAGCGTTGATCAGCCTCGATGGGCGTCGATTCGGAAGAGCGAATAATATGGTACGGGAGGCTTCCATGAGTTGCCACTGGAGCATCTCCCCTGATCTCATGGCTCCCTCTTCTGTCAATGCGTTCCCTGGCTCCCCCTATTACAGTCAACCCGCATAGTAGGGATAGGCAACCTTCCCAAGGGTACCCTTGCATCCTTGCCTCCTCGGTCCATCCTTGGCCACTTTCGTTGGCCGCGCCCCGCTCGAAAAGCTTTGAAATGGGCTTCCAAGGCCCGTGCATATCACGCATCCTTAAGATACGGCCCGACTGTACGTAGACTCCCCGCGGTGGCTGGTCACGGTGGCTCCTCGACAAAAGCACTTCCGCAAGCATGGCCACTTTTGACAGAACACGCGCTAATCAGTTTTGCAGACTTCTTCTTCGAACGGTGCGGTGCGGCATCAAACTACAGCTCTTCTTAGCGAAGGACCCAACCATGTGCAGGCTTGAGAATCGCAAGGCATCCGGGACGAAGGAGGCAGCGCTCCGGCATGCGGGCGCAGCCGCTGGAGCTTTCGGTGGACCTCCCTTATGGCCACGAAGCGTGTGAGGGGTGTGCCAAATTGGGGCGGGGCCGCCATGTGGGCGTCTCTGCTGGGGTCTTCGGTGGCGCTAACCACAGGGCCACGCATCGTGTGAGGGTGAGCCAAACTGGGGCAGGCGCTGCCAGTGGGGCCTTCGGTGGAGCTCCCTAAGTGCCACGTTTGAGGTGCGTGTGCGCGCGTGTGTGTGTGTGTGTGTGTGTGTGTGTGTGTGTGTGTGTGTGCCGAAATGGGCATGCGGAGGGCAGAGGCAGGGATGAGGAGGAGGGAGAAGGGGGGAGGAGGAAGTGGTGACTGAGACGCGGGGCGCTGTCTCGTCAACTCCAGGACCCAACACCACAGGCTGGTTGGGATATGGACGTAGATTTTCGAAGGTCCGCGCAATTTTCTTGATCGGTGCTGGATCCCCTGGCGGTGCCCTCAGCGCCGCCCCCTGGCGCGCTCCGCGCGTCAGGGCGGGAGGTCCCGCGCTCCATCCAAGAGATCCGCTCGGACTTCTGAAAGTGTACGGTTACGCAAATCATTCTTCAAGCGTCAGTGGGAAGCTCAGAGGAGAAACATGTATTGTGGAGACCCACGCCAATGGAACACCCTGCTTGCCTCCGGGGTGTCTTGGGTTTCTTGGGTTTGATGGTTTTTCAATCGGAAGCTTGACGTTCCCACATTAATAAAACTCACAGGACGTCCTGGGCTCTCAGGGTTGGGTTTCTTGTGGAAAGTTTCTTTTGGATTGGCCTCCACTGTACCCATCCATCTACCTTTCCCTCGTTTTCTGGTTTTGGGCCTCCTGAGAGGCCCTCGTCGCCACCGCTGGATTCGCCTCGAAATCCTGGTCAGAACGCACCCCAGCAAGAAGTCCAGAGAGCAGCGGTATCGTTACCTTGTGGTTTCCCCAGAAGCAGGCACCGAGGGAGGGAGGGAACAGGAGGGTGAATCAAGTGCTCGTGTCCGGCCGCCGCCCAGGGCCTAGAAGCAACCGCCGTGAGCGGCGGTCGAACGACCCTCTTCCTTCGAAGCCGACGCCACCGCCATACAGTCGGGGCCCTGAAGAAGGAACCGTTTTCGTTGGGGAGGGGCTCCGTGCTCCCTAATTGTTTCGCAGCCTGCCTTGGATTTTCCTTAGGTTTTCGATACGAAATCGAAGTTCAACTTATGGAAAATAGGGGCCTCGTTCCTTATTTGGGGTTCCTTAGGTCAACGCCCCGACTGTAGTCGACTGCACGTAAGAGTGACCCGTCGCCAGAATGACCCCCTGTTGTGGACCCACGGTGGTGCCTCCAGCATCAGCCTGCGCGCCTGGATCTGGCCCCCCTCCCCGGCGGCCCCCGGCACGACCGCGCACCGAAGTTCTTTCCTGTCCAGGGCTCCTCCTCCTCCTCCGCCTCCTCCTCCGCCTCCTCCTCCGCCTCCTCCTCCGCCTCCTCCTCCTCTCCTCCTCCTCCTCCTCCTCCTCCTCCTTCTCCTCCTCCTCCTCCTCCTCCTCCTCCTCCTCCTCCTCCTGCTGCACATCGGTGTCCAAGCGCTGGCACAGTTGACCTCCTATGGCGCGCGGTCGCCCCTTCCTGACTTCGGCTGAGGCAAGCGAGACGAGACGGTTGAGGGAGCAAGACACGACGACTAATTACCACGGCGACGGCTGCTCAGCCGACGGGAGCGCCATCCAGTCCCCGAGAAGTTTGTCTAGAGGTCCCGGGGCCCCGCATGGAAACATAAAAGCGTCGGAGGTCTGTGGAGGCCGGGAGGCAGGAGGCCAGGGAGCGACATGGAGGGCCGTCGGCGCTGATGGCGGTGATGGCGGCGACCGCGCGGCGACGGCGGCGACCAAAGGAGGCCTCCCCGAGGCGCCTCGAGGTCTTGCGAGGCCCCCGCACAGGCGACGCGACGACCACGACGGCACCTCCGCACGCGCCGCGGTCTCGGCACGTGGCCCCCGGCTCTCTCTCGAGGGGCAGCGGACGCCAGCCCTCCCGCCCCCCGAGGCGGGCGCCGCGGACCTCTCCGCGCAGCAGCAGGCGCTGAAGGAGCAGGCCCCCAGCGCGTGCGGAGCGTGTCTCAGAGCGTGAATTACCTACGGTCGGCCCGAGATATAAGATCGAGGTCGGTTCGGGGAGGGTACCCTAATTTTCTTCGTGTTTGTTGGATGTTTTTGTGCATCCTGGGGGAGGGTACCCTCGGTGATCTTATGGTTTGGGGTGTTTTGGCTGGCGGCGGGTCTAACGTTCTTGAAGGATGTTCTTCTGTCCTAGGTCCGGCCGTACCCCGCTTTCGCTTCCGGGCAAACCCAAGCCATACCACGCGCCTCCTCGTCAAGCGGCCCGATCAGCACAGGCTGCAGTTTGGCATCGTTTGGTATCTCTCGGAAGCGAGGGTGGTCCAAAGCGAGGGAGGTTTGTTTTCCCCCTAGTGTCGCCGACCCCCCCCCCCTCTCCGCCACAGAGAAAATTTACGTAGACGCCCTCCCATGCATTGTTCCTGGGCCTCAAGGGAGGGTGGCGGTGTATGAATCACCACGGGGAGCCCGCGGCTTTCTACACCGCCGCCCTCCCTGACGGTGCATGCAAAATTCGCTGGAGGGTGTCCATCTGTTATTATCATTGTTATTATTGCTATTATTAATATCATTAGTATTATTATCAGTATTCGTAGTACTCGTATCATTATGATTATGATGGTGGTGATGATGATGATGATGATGATGATGATGATGATGATGATGATGATGATGATGATGATGATGATGATGATGCTGATGCTGATGATGATGATGATGATGATGCTGATTCTTATTATTATTATTATTATTCGTATTATTCCCAACCCTCCTTGGTTGGGTTTTCGTTTTGAATAGAGCAGGGTGGTCGCGTCACTCCTCCTGCCTCCCGCCTCTTCCTGTCTTGCCTGCGGGGGGCTGCGATCTGCGAAACTGTCGCCATTTTCGAGGCCTGCTGGGGGGCCCAGCACAGTGAGGGCCACGCGCGGATTCAAATTAGACCTCGCCATCCCTGGGGGGCTGCGATCTGCGAAACTGTCGCCATTTTCGAGGCCTGCTGGGGGGCCCAGCACAGTGAGGGCCACGCGCAGATTCAAATTAGACCTCGCCATCCCTGGGGGGCTGCGATCTGCGAAACTGTCGCCATTTTCGAGGCCTGCTGGGGGGCCCAGCACAGTGAGGGCCACGCGCGGATTCAAATTAGACCTCGCCATCCCTGGGGGGCTGCGATCTGCGAAACTGTCGCCATTTTCGAGGCCTGCTGGGGGGCCCAGCACAGTGAGGGCCACGCGCGGATTCAAATTAGACCTCGCCGTCCCTGGGGGGCTGCGATCTGCGAAACTGTCGCCATTTTCGAGGCCTGCTGGGGGGCCCAGCACAGTGAGGGCCACGCGCGGATTCAAATTAGACCTCGCCATCCCTGGGGGGCTGCGATCTGCGAAACTGTCGCCAATTTCGAGGCCTGCTGGGGGCCCCAGCACAGTGAGGGCCACGGGCGATTCAAATTAGACCTCGCCATCCCTGGGGGGCTGCGATCTGCGAAACTGTCGCCATTTTCGAGGCCTGCTGGGGGGCCCAGCACAGTGAGGGCCACGCGCGGATTCAAATTAGACCTCGCCATCCCTGGGGGGCTGCGATCTGCGAAACTGTCGCCATTTTCGAGGCCTGCTGGGGGGCCCAGCACAGTGAGGGCCACGCGCGGATTCAAATTAGACCTCGCCATCCCTGGGGGGCTGCGATCTGCGAAACTGTCGCCATTTTCGAGGCCTGCTGGGGGGCCCAGCACAGTGAGGGCCACGCGCGGATTCAAATTAGACCTCGCCATCCCTGGGGGGCTGCGATCTGCGAAACTGTCGCCATTTTCGAGGCCTGCTGGGGGGCCCAGCACAGTGAGGGCCACGCGCGGATTCAAATTAGACCTCGCCATCCCTGGGGGGCTGCGATCTGCGAAACTGCCGCCATTTTCGAGGCCTGCTGGGGGGCCCAGCACAGTGAGGGCCACGGGCAGATTCAAATGAGACCTCGCCATCCCTGCGGGGCTGCGATCTGTGAACCTGTCGCCACTTTCGAGGCCTGCTGTGATCCCCGTTTTCGAAGTGGCTAGGAGTGCTCAGGAATTGTAATCATCAGCTTTATCAAGCCCTTTTCCTGTAGCCAGTGTCCTGCGAGTCTCCCGAATTCCGTCTGCAGACATATGTAACCCTCGCTCCGTCATCGCCCCCTTATAAAGTATCCTAAACTATTTGCGCCCCGCTTTTGCGCAGGGGTTGGGTACGTCGCCAGGGTAATTCCCAACCCTCCTTGGTTGGGTATTCGTTTTGAATAGAGCAGTGTGGTCTCCACTCCTTCCTTCCTTCCTCCTCCTCCCTCCCTGCCTCTTCCTGTCTTGCCTGCGGGGGGCTGCGATCTGTGAAACTGTTGCCATTTTCGAGGCCTGCTGGGGGGCCCTGCACAGTTACGCCACGGGCATATTCAAACGAGACCTCGCCATCCCTGGGGGGCTGCGATCTGTGAAACTGTCGCCATTTTCGAGGCCTGCTGGGGGGCTCAGCACAGTGAGCGCGACGCGCAGATTTAACTGAGACCTCGCCATCCCTGGGGGGCTGCGATCTGCGAAACCGTCGCCATTTTCGAGGCCTGCTGGGGGGCCCAGCACAGTGAGGGCGACGCGCAGATTCAAATTAGGCCTCGCCATCCCTGGGGGGCTGCGATCTGTGAATCTGTCGCCATTTTCGAGGCCTGCTGGGGGGCCCAGCACAGTGAGGGCCACGCGCGGATTCAAATTAGACCTCGCCATCCCTGGGGGGCTGCGATCTGCGAAACTGTCGCCATTTTCGAGGCCTGCTGGGGGGCCCAGCACAGTGAGGGCCACGCGCGGATTCAAATTAAACTTCCCCATCCCTGGGGGGCTGCGATCTGCGAAACTGTCGCCATTTTCGAGGCTTGCTGGGGGGCCCAGCACAGTGAAGGCCACGCGCGGATTCAAATTAGACCTCGCCATCCCTGGGGGGCTGCGATCTGCGAAACTGTCGCCATTTTCGAGGCCTGCTGGGGGGCCCAGCACAGTGAGGGCCACGCGCGGATTCAAATTAGACCTCGCCATCCCTGGGGGGCTGCGATCTGTGAAACTGTCGCCATTTTCGAGGCCTGCTGGGGGGCTCAGCACAGTGAGGGCGACGCGCAGATTCAAATTAGACCTCGCCATCCCTGGGGGGGCTGCGATCTGTGAAACTGTCGCCATTTTCGAGGCCTGCTGGGGGGCTCAGCACAGTGAGGGCGACGCGCGGATTCAAATTAGACCTCGCCATCCCTGGGGGGCTGCGATCTGTGAAACTGTCGCCACTTTCGAAGGCTGCTGGGGGGCCAGCGGAGTGACGTCCTACGGGGCAATTAGACCTCGCATGGGGGGCTACGATCTGTGAAACGTCGCCATTTCGAGGGCTTCTGGGGGGCCCAGCACAGTGAGGGCGACGCGCGGATTCAAATAGACCTCGCCATCCCTGGGGGGCTGCGATCTGTGAAACTGTCGCCATTTCGAGGCCTGCTGGGGGGCCCAGCACAGTGAGGGCGACGCGCAGATTCAACTGAGACCTCGCCATCCCTGGGGGGCTGCGATCTGTGAAACTGTCGCCACTTTCAGGCCTGCTGGGGGGCCCAGCACAGTTCGAGACCTCGCCACCCCTGGGGGGCTGCGATCTGTGAAACTGTCGCCACTTTCGAGGCCTGCTGGGGGGCCCTGCACAGTGACGCCACGGGCAGATTCAAATTAGACATCGCCATCCCTGGGGGGCTGCGATCTGTGAATATGTCGCCATTTTCGAGGCCTGCTGGGGGGGCCCAGCACAATGAGGGCCACGGGCAGATTTAACTGAGACCTCGCCATCCCTGGGGGGCTGCGATCTGTGAAACTGTCGCCACTTTCGAGGCCTGCTGGGGGGCCTGCGATCTGTGAAACTGTCGCCACTTTCGAGGCCTGCTGGGGGGCCCAGCACAGTGACGCCACGGGTAGATTCAAATGAGACCTCGCCATCCCTGGGGGGCTGCGATCTGTGAAACTGTCGCCATTTTCGAGGCCTGCTGGGGGGCCCAGCACAGTGAGGGCCACGCGCGGATTCAAAGTAGACCTCGCCATCTCTGGGGGGGCTGCGATCTGTGAATCTGTCGCCATTTTCGAGGCCTGCTGGGGGGCCCTGCACAGTTACGCCACGGGCATATTCAAACGAGACCTCGCCATCCCTTGGGGGCTGCGATCTGTGAAACTGTCGCCACTTTCGAGGCCTGCTGGGGGGCCCAGCGCAGTGACGCCACGGGCAGATTCAAATGAGACCTCGCCATCCCCTGGAGGCTGCGATCTGTGAAACTGTCGCCACTTTCGAGGCCTGCTGGGGGGCCCAGCACAGTGACGCCACGGGCGGACCCAAATTAGATCTCGCCATCCCTGCGGGGCTGCGATCTGTGAAACTGTCGCCACTTTCGAGGCCTGCTGTGATCACCGTTTTCGAAGTGGCTAGGAGTGCTCAGGAATTGTAACTCATCAGCTTTATCAAGCCCTTTTCCTGTAGCCAGTGTCTGCGAGTCTCCCGAATTCCGTCTGCAGTCATATGTAACCCTCGCTCCGTCATCGCCCCCTTATAAAGTATCCTAAACTGTTTGCGCCCCGCTTTTGCGCAGGGGTTGGGTACGTCGCCAGGGTAATATTCTTCTGATTATTCTTCTTATTCTTCTTATTAGTCGTAGTAGTCGTACTAGTTAGTTAGTTCGTTCGTTCGTTCGCTCGTCAGTCAGTCAGTCAGTCAGTCAGTCAGTCAGTCAGTCAGTTAGTTAGTTAGTTAGTTAATTAGTTAGTTAGTTAGTTAGTAGTAGTCGTAGTAGTAGTAGTAGTAGTCGTCGTCGTCGTCGTCGTCGTCGTCGTAGTAGTAGTAGTAGTTGTAGTAGTAGTCGTAGTAGTAGTAGTAGTAGTAGTAGTAGTAGTAGTAGTAGTAGTAGTAGTAGTAGTAGTAGTAGTAGTAGTAGTAGTAGTAGTAGTAGTAGTAGTAGTAGTAGTAGTAGTAGTAGTAGTAGTAGTAGTAGTAGTAGTAGTAGTAGTAGTAGTAGTAGTAGTAGTAGTAGTAGTAGTAGTAGTAGTAGTAGTAGTAGTAGTAGTAGTTGTAGTAGTAGTAGTAGTAGTAGTAAAAATACGAGTACTCTTAGTATTAGTAGTAGTATTAATTCCAGTCTCATTGTTTCATATATACATATCGATATATCTATGTATTCGTGGCGTATCCCCGTCCTCCACGCTGCGGGGTCCCCCAGACGGTGCGCGCTCAAGGGCCGGGCCCCAGCGCGTGCGAGCGTGCCGCCGACCCCCCCCCCCGGGGGGCACGGGGACCAAGGAAGCAACCGGGGGTCCACCCAGACACGACCGCGCCGCGAAAAAGTTTGGCTGGAGGCTCTCCGCCGTTTCTGGCCTCCACGCCCGGGGGCCCCCAGACGGTGCGGCGGCCATGCCGCGTGTTGAGCCCGGGGGGGGGTGGGGCTCGGGGGCGACCTCGCGGCCGTCTCGTGGGGCTGATGCGGCAACGCTCCGAGGGCGCCTCGGGCGACGGGCTCCCCCGAGTGCGGCCCGCGCAGGTGCGGCGACGGGCCCCTCCTCCTCCTCCTCCTCCTCCTCCGCCTCCTCCTCCTCCTCCTCCTCCTCCTCCATCTCATCCTCCTCCGCTTCCTCCTCCTCCTCCATCTTCTTCTCCTCCTCCGCCTCCTCGTCCTCCTGCTCCTTCTCCTCCCTTGGCCCGGGAACTGTTTGCAGGCGTGCCCCTCCCGGCCTCGCTGGCTGCCCTGGCCCCTGGCCTCTTGGGTCGAGCGAGAGGGGGGGAAGCGAGAAGGTGAAGGCCTGCTCAGAAGGCGGCGGGGCATCTCAGAAGCCCTCGCGCTTTCTGGGAAGGTTTTCCGTGTCTTCGGGCAAGGCTGAGAAAACTCCTCAGAGGGCCGGGGGATTTCCGAGCCTTCTGAGAAGACTCGCCCCTTCCCACTTCCCCCCGCGCTTGCCGTTGATGGCCGGGCCCTTCCTTGGCCCAGGAGCTGCGTGGACGCCCTCCCGGCCAAGCCGGGAGGGCGTGGCGTACATCCCTGCGCGCTGGGTTCGGGACGGGCCTGGCCAGGGAGCACTGGATCTGAGCCCGTCGGTCGTCGAAAGTAGGCCTTTCTGGATGCGCCCAGGTCCCAATGTACTTCAGACGCCTTCCTACAGTCGGGTTCCAGTAGTAGGTCGAAGCCGCGGCCGCGGGTAACCGCGGTCGCGGCTTCGGCAGGGTACCCTTGTGTCCTGTGGTTTTGGAGGCAATGTTGCCGTCGGAAGAGTCTTGTGTCCTGTCGCGCGTCCTGTGCGCAATAACCCGCCTGTACTTCAAGCATCGCGTGCTTGTCCCTCGTTCCCCTCCTGCTCCTCAGGGGGCGGACGGACGCCCAGCCTGCTTCCAGCGCCTTCTCCTTCCGACCGACGGCTGCCCCGAGAGCGAAAGAGAAGCACGTGCAGGAACATGAGTCCACGCTGGCTTCGAAAGTGCGTGCTGCGCGGACGTTCGTAACACGAGATTGGCCTCGCGGCGGACTGGGCGTGTGTGTGTGTGTGTGTGTGTGTGTTCTGGTGCGTGGCTGGGCGCGTGCGTCCTTTGCGGGCCCCCTAGACGTGGGGAGCCTCTCGTACCCGCTGCCTGCCACTGCCCGCCCGCGCGTTCGACGCGCGCTGGCGCTCGCCCCGGGCCTGCGTGACGGGCCCAAGCGATGGGACCGAGGTGCGGTTTTGCGGCAGCTTGCCACTCGTGTACCGCATCCGTTTCCAGTGGCGTTGGGCTCCCTCGTCGAGTAAGACGTACAGGTCCTCGCCTCCGCCGCCGCCTCTCTCCCTTCCCCTCGTCCCTCCTCCCTCGCCCTCCTCCCTCGTCGAGTAAGACGTAAAGGTCCTCGCCTCCGCCGCCTCCTCTCTCCCTTCCCCTCGTCCCTCCTCCCTCGCCCTCCTGCCTCGCCCTCCGCCCGCCTCCCTCGCCCAGAACCTGCTCACGGGCGCTCGCACCGTGATAAGTTTCACTCACTCACTGGGACTCGCGCCCCATGCCCCTCTCCTCGCCCACCGAGACTCGCCCAAACGCGCGAGAGGGCCCACCGAAGGTAGCCCGACAGCGGCGACTTGTTAGTTCCCAGTATCTTGGGTTGCAAATCCAGGCGCACGCGCGCGCATGCCAAACTCATCGGCACTTCCCGCTCCGGCTTGGCTGTCGGCTTGATGCTTGTTGGCTCCAGAGAGCGTGCGCAGAGCACGTGCTCCTCACCACTGCTCGGAGTGCCTCGAGGCGGCCAGAGGGTGACCCGCTGAGCCCCTGAGACAGCCCAGGAGCCCAAGACGGCACAGGAGAGCCCTGAGATGCCACCGCCGAGATCTCGACCCAGGGTCGGGCCGGGCGAAAGGGGGGGATTGGGAAAGGGGGGGTTACGAAATTTGCTGCATGCAGCTGGGTTCGGCCCCACCGAGGGGCCCATTCCTCGATACATGGCCGCCTCCGGCGCCGGGAGGCGAGCTGATTCTCAAACCCCCCCTTCGTTATCCCCCCCTTTCGCCCGACCCGAGAGATGCCACCGCCGAGATCTCGACCCGGGGCTCGAGCACGGCTCCAGCGGCGCGGACCGCGGCGCCCTCTGATCGGCCGCTCTCCCGTCAGCAGCGAGGGCGCACGCCCACGCGCCTTCGGAGAGCCGACGGGCCGCGCCTTGAAGCGAAGGACACGCATTAGGGTCAGGAGGGGGAGAAACACACAGACACAATTCGTCGTCGACTCCCGTGAAAAAATTGGAAAATATGGGAATTGGGCGGAAAGACAAAAGCTCAGAAACTATGGGAACATGTTGGGAATCTTTTTATTTGTGTGTATTTATTTGTGTGTCCCAGGGCCCCTTCAACTAAGGGCAAGCTGGAGCGTGGGCAGAGGCCTCAGGCGTAGAGGAGCCTCGCCACGAGGAGTGCGCAGGCAGCCTCGGGCACGGGGGCCCGGTGGATGCACAGGCAGTGCGCGACAGCGCGAGCTGCCGGGGGCGGAAAAGAGGGGGGTGATGACAAGGGGGGGGGATATCATGGCGGGGGCCATGATATTTCCCCAGATTTTGTGGCGCCTCTTCTGATTTCAATGCGGCCCTGGCCCCCCCGCTGGGCCGCGCACATGCCGCCGGTCATGATTTGCACCCCCCCCTCGTGGACACCCCCCTCTTGGCCGCTCCCGAGAGCTGCCGAGGGCAGTCCCTGGAGGCCACTGGAGAGGCGCAGCCGTCATCCGATGGACGTCGGGCAAGACGCCGTCGATGCTGCCAGGACTTTCAGAGGTCCTCTTCGTGGGGGGGCCTCGCGAACCAGAGGCGACCAGGCTTTGCCAGGTGAGCCTCCAGGGTGCGGCTGCCAGGCTGTGGCAAGGACAGGATCCAGGCCTCGCCGAGGGGCAGCACGTCACGTCGA